GACTATTCCCGAGGCCCACCCTGTTACCCCATTTTGCCTGTCTCCCCAGGAGCCTCGCCCTGCTGGTGTGTAATAGGGTGAGGTGTCTGTTGTGCATATTACTGGGCATATTTAACATGCTCTTGGCCTTGTATTTGTTTTTGAAGCCTACCCGCAAGGCCACATCAAAGTGGCTGACTGTAAACAAGCAGGGCTGACAAGTTGGAGTGGGAGCTCTTTATACAAGGAAGAGGCTTGCTGGTTAGGAAATAGTGGAGCATGGCTGTGAACATGACAAATACTGTTAAAGGGACAGGGACGGGCACAGCTGTGGTACCTCGTCTGTGTTCCATGCGTGCACTTCTGTTAGACTATTAGGGCTCTTAGCTCAAGACCTGGCATGTAGGAAGTGCTCAGTATTGGTTAAATGATATATTTGCTGCTTTTTGAAAAGATACAGAATTTTTCCTCTCTTAATACACCTTTCTTTAATGTGAAAATACTTTTCAAAGAAATATCAAGTCAGTCTCAGCATTTACACTTGGAATATTGTGAATGCAAATGTTAGTTAGATCTTCCTTTGACCTAATTTGATTTTATTGGTCTTGGGTTAGTAATATTTGGTTATTGTGGTTACATTTCAGTGACATTCACTTCAAGGCTCTTCATCTGAAGGATCAAGATTAAAAAAACTACACTTAATAATTGACCAATTAACATTTTAAAGGCCTCTAAAAGTCACAGCCCAGGTGACTGGTGAATTTACTCAGTTTCTACCACTCTTCTACTTCTTTTTGGTGTGCTTGAGTACATCCAGGTCTGTCTGTCTAGGATTACAGCTCTCTTTTTCCCTTCTGCTCCTCTTGTCATGTGCGGATTTGGTGAGCCAGTGTCTTTAATGTGACTTCATTCAACACTGGAGTTGTACAAAGCCTGGGCCCAGTGGTGCCAGGAACACTAAGATGAGTAAAAGCCTTCCTTTCCTGAGTCATCAGCTGGTGAGGATTATGAAGAGGGTCCCCACGATGAGGGACTCAAGTAAGATTGGGGCCAGACCATCGGGGAGGGGAGGGGAAGGGTTGGACTCAGGATAGGGGGCAATCCTGGTAAAATTGGTGTGTAGAGAGGTGGGCCTTGAAGCAGTAGGAGTGGAGAGGAAGTTTACTAGATGCCAGGTGCTTTCTCAGTACTTCATGTGTATAGTTTTTTTCATTTCATTCTTCTGAACCATTAAAGGTACATTCTGTTGTTTTCTATATTTTATACAGAGGAAACTGACACAAAGAGAAGTAACTTGTCCAAGAGCATGCAGCTCATAAATGGTCCTGCCTGGATTCCAACTCAGGCAGTCTGGTTGCGGAGTCTGAACTGTGAATTGCTGTCAGTGGCTGAATGGGATTTGGACAAATGAAGATTAAGGGGAAGCCACGGTGATCAAATATTAATACATAGAGGTAGACAAATTGGTTTAGGGCCATTTTGCCAAGGCCCTGGAATCCCACACCTGAAGGGGATAATTGTAACATATGACAGAACTAATATTTGTACAGGCTTTATGGGTCCACATTGCCACCACCCTCTGCTGATTGATTTGGTGGAATGTTGTGTCTGTGGTTCAGTGTGCAGGGATAAGGTTGGGAAGGTTGTTGAGTAGAGGAGTCACATGGTTTGTTCCCTCTCGTATGTCTTTAAGCTGCCCTGAGGTTTTGGCCTGCATTCCCTGAGCTCATGAACATGGTTAAGCCTCTGCTGTCTTCTGTCCCTGCCCATGCTCTTTCCCTGCCCTACAGTTACCATTTGGAAAGAGTTTCCTGGAGTCTCCCTGTTTCTGCCTTTTCACCTCACTGTCCACCTCTGCCTGCCCTCTATCATCCCTGAGGAGACAGTGCCCTGGCTCACTGCTCATTTTGGTTGGGACTTTTCAGGCTTATTGCATTCTGTGAGTTCTCAACCAGGGGTGATTTTGCCCCCTAGGAGATACCTGCCAGTGCCTGGAGACACTGAGTGGGGCTGGCTTTTGTGAGATGGACAGTGAGGTTGCTGCTAGGCATCTTACAGGATGGCTCCCACAACAGAGAATGATCCAGCCCAAATGTCTGTAGTGCAGAGGTGGAGAAGCACTGATGTTACCTGGTGCTCTGGGACATTTTGCAGTTCTTCATTCTTTATTTTTTTGAAAGGGAGTCTCACTGTGCCACTCAGGCTGGAGTGCAGTGGCGCAGTCTCTACTCACTACAACCTTCGTCTCCCGATTCAAGCGATTCTCCCACCGCAGCCTCCTAAGTAGCTGGGATTGCAGGTGTGCGCCACTACACCCAGCTAATTTTTGTATTTTTAGTAGAGGTGGAGTTTCACCATGTTGGCCAGGTTGGTATTGAGCTCCTGACTTCAGGTGATCCACCCGCCTCGGCTTCCCAAAGTGCTGGGATTACAGGTGTGAGCCACTGCGCTGTGCCCTGACTGCCTGGACGTAAATCTCTCCTGACTTGTTTTTCAGTAAATTCTTAGTTCATTTCTTACCAATCTCTGCAGGAGAATCTTCTCCTCCAGCCTTGGTTCCAGTCCTTGCATCCCAGGATTCTTTTCCCAGCCTCTGGTCTCTGCCCACTCCTCACATTTTTCTTGGGCATCTCATTAGTCCTAGGGATTTGACCTTCATCTGTGGGTGAGTGACTCCACATCTGTATTCACAGCTCTAGCTGTCTTGAACTCCAGTCAAATTCATGTCTTCTCCACCTCTGTGGTGCACAGGCACTTCCAAGTCGGTGGGTCTTAAATAGGGCAGCCCTAAGGCTTCTTCATCCTCCCTGCCCTGCTCCCACATTGCTGTCCATCAGCATTCTCTCTCTCTCTCTGTGCCTTCTCATGCTGCTCTTGAAGCACAGGCACTCATCATTTCTCAACCTGCAGCACCCTCCCTCTGGCCTCCCTACTTGCAGTCCTGTGCCCCACTCTGCCACCGGGGAAGCTTTCTAGAGCAGAACTCTGAGGCTGGGAGTCTGACTTTAGCTTCTGTCATCTATACACATAATCTAAACTGCTTCATGACCAAGCCCAGTGGTTCCCAATTGGGAGAGTAGTATTGCCCCCCAAAGGGGCCCTTCGAAAGAAAGTGTTACGAACGTTGGGGGTATCATGATGGGGAAGGTGGGGTAGGTGGGCTACAGATACTGAGTGCTTAGGCCCAGTGATGCTTCTTGCAGTGTGCTGGACTGGGCAGTCCAGTGCATTACAGGAAGAGAATTGTCCAGATTACAGGAAGAGGGCACTTAATAATAGTGCCCTCATTAAGAAGTGGTGATGTAGTTTTTAGCTTCTGCCTAGAGGATTAGGAGAGAAATGCTGAGCACTGGTCCTGGAGAGTACTTACTTTGGGGATCAGGAGGCAAAAGAACTGCATGATATAAAACACTATGGAAATGCAAGCAAGAGTGTAAGGGAGTGATGAATTGTATTGAAAATTGTAGAAATGCCAAGACACAAGTGGGGAAGTCTGTTAGTTGTGTGACTCCCTGAAGCACCCTTCTCATCCCAGCCTGTAAGCCGCACCAGCCCCCGCTCATACAACCGGCAGCCACTCTTTTGGGCCTGTGGCAACAAGTATGCTTCCTTGGTCCTGCACTATGAGACTCTCAGTCTCCCTGTTTGGCACCACATTTGGTCAGTTTTGCTGTCTCTGCCTTAGCCCCTTTCCACCTCTGGCCACCCATTACACAGCTTCTTTTATAAATAAAAATATCCCAAGCTGTGTCACAGTCAACGACAAGAACAGCAGCAACTACATTAATAATCCTTTATGTGCCAGGTACTGTGCTAAACTCTATAAGCATTTCTTATTTAATCTTCAGAAAATCTCTATAAGGTAGCTACTGTAATTATGCCATTTAGGGTTGAGGAAATTGAAGATTAAACAGATGAAATAACCAGTTCACTTTTACATAGCTAGTATCCCATGGAACTGGGACTTACACATGCATGTCCTTTTATTTCTCATTTTAAAAAACAGATTTTATTTTTTAGAGCAGATTTAAGTTCACAGAAAAACTGGAAGTATAGAGTGTTGCCATATACCTCCTGCCCTCCTCCAGCCTCCCCCACTATGAACACAGAATAGTACATATGTTATAATCGATGAACCTACATTGACACATCATTGTCACTTAATTTCATAATTGACATTAGGGTTCCCTTTTGGTGTTGTACATCCTATGGATTTTGACAAATGTATAATGACATGTATCTGCCATTATAGTATCATAGGAATAGATTCACTGCCCTAAAAATCCTCTGCGTTTCACTTGCTCATCCCCCACCCCCCGTGGCAACCACTTTTTTTTTTTTTTTTCCCATGACTCTATCATGTCTTTTTGACATTTTACAAATAAATTCTAAGTTCAGATGTTCAGTTATCATTGAATATCTATAAGGAATCAGTGGAGTTCCCATATCCATGAATCATGTTTATTTCTTAAGAATTGGGTTAGTGGATTCTACTTTCTGTCACCACGTTTTCTGTCCTTTCTGGGAACCGGCTTGGCTATTTGCACCATGGGTGGGACATGTACTTAAGATAGAGTACAACTATGTTATTCCCACTTCCTGTCCTGATAGCTTTGGAAGAATTCTGGTTTTTTCCTTCACAGCCTGTCTTTGTAATTTTGTGTAGACCAACAAATTAGTTTGATCCATTATCCCTGACATTAGGTGTCAGACCACCTTAGACGAGAAATGGGCATGAGTTCGTCTATGTTTCAGCATCTTTCTGGTATTCAGGACAGCCTAAAGGTCGGGATGAAGGGCTTTGAAGGCCCTTTTTAGAGATTCCACCTGACTGGTTGGTTAAGTAGCTTCATCATATTATTCTCTGGTTCACTGGAGTGATTCGTCTTTAAAGGAACCCTGGAACTGCCTTTCATTATATTCATGTATTAGAAAAACCTTACACCATACTGTTGCAAGTACAGGTTGAGTATCCCTAATCCAAGAACCTGAAATCTGTTCTCTCTCTATTCCTCCCCCAGAAGCCCCATGTGCCACTCCCTTGATCTGCAGCTTCGGGAGGCCAGTGGACCTGGAGAAGGACGACTACCAGAAGGTGGTGTGCAACAACGAGCACTGCCCCTGCAGCACCTGGATGCACCTGCAGTGCTTCTACGAGTGGGAGAGCAGCATCCTCGTCCAGTTCAACTGCATCGGCCGTGCGCGCAGCTGGAACGAGAAGCAGTGCCGCCAGAACATGTGGACAAAGAAGGGCTACGACCTGGCCTTCCGCTTCTGCTCCTGCCGCTGTGGCCAGGGCCACCTGAAGAAGGACACAGACTGGTACCAGGTGAAGCGGATGCAGGACGAGAAAAAGAAGAAGTCTGGCTCCGAGAAGAACACAGGGAGGCCCCCTGGTGAGGCGGCGGAGGAGGCAAAAAAGTGCAGGCCGCCAAATAAGCCCCAGAAAGGCCCGAGCCACGACCTCCCCCGCCGGCATTCCATGGACCGGCAGAACTCCCAGGAGAAGGCAGTGGGTGCCGCGGCCTACGGTGCCCGCTCCCCTGGCGGCTCCCCGGGCCAGTCCCCACCCACGGGCTACTCCATCCTCTCTCCCGCCCACTTCAGCGGCCCCCGCTCCTCCAGATACCTCGGGGAGTTCTTAAAGAACGCCATCCATCTGGAGCCTCACAAGAAGGCCATGACTGGGGGCCATGTGTTCAGAAATGCCCACTTTGATTACAGCCCTGCGGGGTTGTCAGTTCACAGGGGGGGACACTTCGACACCCCCGTGCAGTTCCTTCGGCGGCTGGACCTCTCCGAGCTCCTCACTCACATCCCCAGGCATAAGCTGAACACTTTCCACGTGCGCATGGAAGACGATGCCCAAGTGGGCCAGGGGGAGGACTTGCGGAAGTTCATTCTGGCCGCGCTCAGTGCCAGCCACAGAAACGTAGTAAACTGTGCCCTGTGCCACCGGGCACTCCCGGTGTTCGAACAATTCCCACTGGTGGATGGAACTCTGTTCCTAAGCCCGTCCAGACATGATGAGATCGAATATGATGTTCCTTGTCACCTTCAAGGTATAGGTGTTAATTCACCTTGCCTGCTTTCTGTTTGTTAAAAAGCAAACAGCAAACAAGACGGATTGCTCTATTTTGGCTTAGTTTTCACCAGTGTTGTTTCTTTGTTCTAGTCAGGTGCTAGGTAACATTTGAATATTTCAGCTTCGCCCAGTGACGCAGTGATTTTTTACTCTGATGTCGCAGTACCAAGTACAGTTGTCCTAGTGGATAATTTTGTGTGTGTGTTCTGTAATTTGAAGAGAGGATTGCTGGCATGTGGTTTTGCATAATGGGGAAAGAAGTTAGTGGAGTTGTTGCATATTTGTCACTTACTGTAAACCTGTTTAATGGGTCCAACTAGCCGTGCATCCTCTTTGATCCTTATAACAGTGAGGAAAAGCAGTGGTCAGAAAATGGCCAAGGTGTTTTTAGATTAGTTGAATTAATTTTGAAGTTTATGAAAGATGAGACTGTCCTGATAGCAGCAAAAGGTAAACAGGATTATTGAAAGCCCAGGCATTAGCCTGGTGGTGGTGGTGGATGGAGGGAGGGGCGATGGAGAAGCTTATTATTCCTATGGATGACATGTAGGGACTTAGTATGTTTCAGCCATAAATTGAATAAGATGAGGTTGGTTAGTATAAGAAATCTGTCAGTTCATACACAACTACTGAACTTCCATAAAGGTGAGACACATCACATATAATATGTTTATACTTTAAATGTGTGCTAAAAAGCTTGTTGTAAAAATGATATATCCCTACGTGTCTCCTTCCCGCCAACCCTGCTGTGTCAGTACCCAGACAAACATTTTCAAATCTTAGCTTATGCTTCCAGTTTTTAACATCATGATTGTAAATACTGCTGTCTTCATTCTCCAGTTTTACATATTATCTGTTTATTGACTGGCTTTGAAGGTGGATGACTATGCATCCCCCTCCTCCTCCCTCTCAGGATGAGATACCACAATTCTTGGTTAAATCCTTAATGTTTACTAACGTGAATATATATTTAATATTGATCCAAGAAGTATGGGTTTTTTTCTTATTATATAGTACTGTATATTCTAGGACTCCTTTTGTTTTTATTAGGGTTAATTGATTATTTTCATTTGCATAGGTTTTTTGTTTTTTTTTTTTAATAACCTTGGCTAGTTCTCACTCTCCAGCAGCTTTACAAACCATCTTTCAAAAACATTTCCACATACCTGTCAGATTTTTTTGGAAAAAAAAATTTTGCCCCTGAAAATGCCCCTCATGGAGACTCTTACCCTCCTGCTTCTACCTGTCCTGGTGCACTCAGGACCTGGTGTACCACATAGCTGTCCTTCTAGGAATGCCTTCATTTCTGTCCTATTTTTTAAAATCTTGTTTCCTAGATCTCAGTATTTTATTTTTTCTCAGTTTGTTCTCTCAGCTTTTAGGAAACATCCCCCAGGAGCTTTTTGAGAAAGGGAATAGATGATTTGAGACTTTGAACATCTGAGAATATCTTGATTTTATCTTCACTCTTCATTGCTATTTAGCTGGCTGTGGTCTTCTAAGTTATACATATTTTGCCCTCAGAATTTTGAAGACATTTCTTGACTGTCTCCCATCTTACAATGTCGCTATTTTGAGAGGTCTGATGTTACTCTTATTCCTGTCTTTGCCTCCATCTCCACCCCTCCATGAAGGTTTTAAGATTTTCTTCATATATCCCTAATGTTCTGAAATTTCACCATATGCTGGTCTTTTACACAGTTTTCTCTGTTTGTTGTGCTTTCTGCACTCTCTTGGCCCTTTGGCTCTATAACCTTACCATCTTTCATTTGGAGAAATTTGTTTTTGTATTATTTCTTTGATAATTTCCTCTACCATATTTTCACTTTTAAAAATTTCTGTGAAACTCTGTATTAATCAGACATTAGACCCCTTAGATTATCTTTTGTTGGAGTGGAGAACTCCTTTATTTTATATATAATAAAGGATATATAATAAATATATACATGGCCCTGTTCATCTCTTTTTTCTGCTTTATGGAAAATTTCCTTGACTTTTTATTCTGGTGTTTTTACGGAGTTTGAAATTTTCTGTTCTTACATTTTTAATTTCCAAGAGCTCCTTTTAATAGCATGCTCTTCTTGTTTCATGTATGTAATTTCCTGTGCTACCTTTCTGAGCAAGGAAAGGGAGCTGAAATTGCAGAGAGAGTAGTCTCGTTCATTTTGAGAATTGTAACTAACTTTACCCTATATCTTTTAGCATTTGTTATAAAGCAGAACATTCCAAAACTTAGTGGTTTAAAAGGATAATTTAATGACTTCTTACAATTCTGTGGGTGGATTGATTAGGACAGTTAGGTTGGCTTAGGGGATCTCAGCCGGAATGGCTTGTCTTATGTTCCATGTAGTTTCATCTTCCAATAGGCTAGCTTGGACTTTTTCACATGGTGCTCTCAGGATAGCATTCAAGAGATATGAGTGGAAGCTGCAGAGTCTGTCTCTAGAGGCTTAAGCTTAGAACTGAGTAACATCACTCCTGTCACATTTTGTTCATCAGCATAAGTCCTAAGTCTAGCCCAGGTTCAGATGATGCTGAAATACTCTGTTTTTTGATGGAAAGTGCTGCATAGAATTTATGGTTGGTTGTAATTTATTGCTCCCTACGATCTCCCTACAAACTCCCCAGTGCTTGTCCAGTTTCAGAGCTTAACCATTTACTATCCCTCAGTCCACTTTCTGACTTCATATAGTTTGATTCAGGGTTGAAATAACTTCATTGTTTCATGATGGAGTTTGTGTTTTTGTTTTTTTATCCTGTTTGGGGGTAATTTTAGAGGGAAGTGGATGGAAACACCTTTATTTCTCCATCATAAAACTTGAAATATTTTTTATGAAGATGAATATGGGTACAGCATATATGAGAATAGTAGTGTTCTTTTTCTATCTGTAATGGACAAATTATTTTCATGTAATCCATTCATCTGTTGATCAAACTTACGGATTTCACACATTCTGGGTACTATCAGTTCTTGCTCGTCATCAATTTATAATCTTAGGATAAGATGCTTTTATAAAATGTAACTTACCAGGCTTCAAGTTCTAGTATCACACCTGGATATGATGTACATTAAGTATCCTTTAATTTCCAGAGGAAGGGACCACTTTGGCTTGGTTCATAAAAAGAGGCAGCATGAATGCTGATGTCAAAAGGTGGGCTGGATCTTGGTAAGCAGAGGGTCCACCCAGGTCAGGTGTTTGTTGATGAGGAGGGAGTGCCTGCAAGCAAAAGAAGGGTGGTTAAAAAGAAGAAGGGCAGGTTGTGATCAGGAGATAGGGAGAGAACTGGTTGGAGCCAAGGGTGTTCTAGAGTGGGAAAGGAGTAAGATAGGGAGAGAATAGATTGCAGAAGTACTTTCAAGCCATAATAAAGAGCTTTGCTATATGTTCTTTATGAATGTGAATGGACAGATTTTCAATGTTTTTTTAAAGCAGGCAGTCACGTGGAGGAAAGGGACAGGAAAGAGATTTGAAAGGGGTGGGATCTACAGAGTTGAGACTTTGTAGTCTAGATGCAACGATATAAAAGAATGCTAAGGTGTGGACAGAATGGAAGGGAGGGGATATTGTCAAGAGGTTATTTTAAAGAAAAATTATAGCTTGTGAATTCAGAAACAAAATTCACTTTGTTTCTAGACCAGATAAATAGTGGAAGAGTAGAGAAAGGAGATGGGTAGGTAAAGGTGGAGAAAGGGCCTAGTTTTGGGGGCAGAAGATGAGGTTTGTGAGCCTTGGGTTTGAAGGGATGTTAGGACTTTTGTGTGGAGATGTCTAGCAGACACAGTTAAAAATAAGCATTTGAGTTGAACACTGGGGAGTTTGTAACACTGGTGGTTAAAATCCTAAGGGTGGAAGAGCTCTTGCATAGGAAGAAAAGAGAAAGAAAAGGAAGGAGGATATGATAAACCCACGACCAAATCTTGAGGGTACTTTGCAAGGAGCAGATGAAGAAAGGTAAAAATTAGGCCTGAGTACTTGTGTGTGTATATATACACATCAAAACATAGACATACATAAATAGATAATGCGCACATTAGATGTGCATCACAAAGATACTGAGAAGTTGAACGTTTGATATAAAACCTGAAGATCAGGGTGTTTAATTATTACCAGAGAAGTCATCATCGCCACAAGTGAGTCCTTGACCACATGTCGGCATTTTTATTGCCACATCTTTGAGAAATCCATGCCATCTTATTTGTAGTAAGAAAATGTAAATCATGTCTTTAATCACCAATTACTGACCACGCATTCTTCCATTTTCCTTTCCTTTCCTCTCCTCCCCTCCCCTCCCCTCCCCTGCCCTTCCCTCCCCTGCCCTCCTCTCTTTTCTTTTCTTTTTTTTCTTTTCTATCTCACTCTGTCACCCTGGCTTGAAAGCAGCAGAGTGATCATGGCTGCTGCAGCCTTGGACTGCTCAGCTCAAGCAGTGCTCCTGCCCAGCTTCTCCAGTAGCTCGGACTATAGGCTCAAGCCACCACACTTGGCTTATTTAATGTTTTAAAACTTTGTTGTTGTTGTTGTTGTTTTGTTTTGTGACGGAGTTTCGCTTGTGTTGCCCAGGCTGGAGTGCAATCCTGCGATCTCGGCTCACTGCAACCTCTGCCTCTGGGTTCAAGTGATTCTCCTGCCTCAGCCTCATGAGTAGCTGAGACTACAGGTGCCTGCCACAGCGCCCAGCTAATTTTTTTGTATTTTTAGTAGAGACGGGGTTTCACCATGTTGGCCAGGCTGATCTAAACTCCTGACCTCTGGTGACCCACCCGCCTTGGCCTCCCAAAGTGCTGGGATTACAGGTGTGAGCCAGTGTGCCCAGCCTTAAACTTTTTTAAGAGATGGGGTCTCACTGTATTATTGCCCAGGCTGGTCTTGAACTCCTGGCCTCAAACGATCATCCCATTTCAGCCTCCCAAAGTGCTGGGATTACAGGCATGAGCCACTGTGCCTAGCCCGACCACGTGTTTTTAAAAGCATTTTCAACTCCAGTAGAAGGGCCACACTACACTGCAGGCCACAGGATTGCATAGCGTGCAGGGCTGACACAATGCTGCAGTACTTGCTGTGTCCAGTGGCCCTCTCTGGATTATTACTCCCTCGCCCTGCCCTTTACCCCTCACTGCCCTCCCCGGACTCTGTCTCTGGACTTTGTTTGCTCTCTTTTCCTCTGAAAATAGGTTTTGTTTAGCTTTAATAATTTATTAAGATTGATCTAATTAAGAAGTTCTTATTGGGCTTCTTTACCACTTTGAACCACATGTGATTGTTCTCCAGAGAATCGGCTTTTTGTTTAAATTCACAAAGGGTTTAGAAATTCAAAATTCTCTGTGGTCAGGACAATGTTTAGTAGAACTGAAACAAATGTAGACTGAGTCCAGACCACGTGTTCCTGTGAGTTTACCTGTAGGTTATGGATCCAAGAGACATGAATCAGTCTGGACTTGCTACTTAATTATCTCATGAACTTGGGCAAGCTGCTCAGCTTCTAAGCCTCACTTCCTACTCTCAGAAGTGGGAGCAACAGTAATGCCTATTTTGTAATGTTGCTGTTAGGGTTAAATGAAATGATTCACATGGAGCTGGTAGCATAGTGCCATACCCTCGGTTAACTCTTAGTAAAAGTTACTCTGTCTTCATCATTATGGTCATTGTTAGCAACACCTGACTTCTGTGTCTAAGGCTGCCCTTACCCTTCTTAGCTGTGACCTCTGTACCTGTGAATGTTTGGGAATTGCATTGAGTAAGCAGGATGAAGAGTGCAAATCAAGTTGTTTCCAGTGGCTCCTGGATCCTTGAATGGACTTCCTAACATGCCCCAAGGCTAGAGTAGATGTGGCAAGTGAGATCCTTTTATTTTCAATGCCATAGAGCAGAAGTGGGCGGCATTTCAAGAAGTTCTTGTCATCCTTCCCCTTTTTGGCATAAAGGCCCCCAAGGTTATGCTGTCTTTGGCTGTTAACATGCCCCATCCATTTACCCAACATACGCTTACAAAGTGCTTTCCACATCCTAGACATCGTGATAGTCACTGAGTCTACAAGGATGAATAAGACATGGTTCTTGCACTGAAGGAGGAATGGGGTCATGCAAGCAAATGCGAACGAAGGGCTCCCCCTAAGTACTGTAGATGGAATATATATACCTTTCCATCGGGTAGGGAGCAGGTTGGTCCTTACTACTGAGTGCTGAAGATCCATAGTCTGACTGATGGCAGTGAGCAGCACATTCTGAATATGAGGCCACTTAGGATTATGTGTTCTCCTGATGGTAGTTTTTTACATGGGGAAGCGCCCTGGGTCCTACACAGAGAGCAGAAATGTTGCTGTTATATGTTGCCTGGGCAGATTCTGGGCATTCTGACTCTTCCCTAATTATTTAAACTGTGATGCTTCCATATACACTAGGATGACATCTCTCCTTTATAAACATTAAGATGTTATCAAATAATGGAGGGGGATCATGTTGTAACTTTTTAAGAGCTCAGTGAATAAAATGTTGAACTTCTTTTAAAAAATTACAAGTAAGATACAATTCTGGTTCCTAAATTAGATGTGGTGATGGCTGAGCATTTTGAGAACAAGGATAGTTAACATAGTAATTTTGGTTGTGGTGTAATTTTGGGTTATCAGTCCCCAAGACAGACTTGATTTTTATGATGGGACTTGTCAGGGGGTGAGAGCTTGTGACAAGACCAATGCTATTGGTTAAGTCTATATGCTAAACATAAAGTTTTGAGCAGGAAGTCCTGCGTAAATACAGTACAGGCTGGTTTTGAGTATATGTGGCTTTTGTTACTTGAATTTGGATGGACCCATTATGTAAGTCCAGCAGCACTTTTTGGAAAAGCAAATTGAAGCCAAGTTTTTAATATGCTTGAACTTAAAATACATGTTTTATTGACAATAACTAGTAGTTCATCATTATCCTGAAAGGACAGCTTATGTACTAAATATTGATTTTTTCTTTTTATATTTATCCAAAAGATAAAATCTTTGCTTATAATTGGTAGATGAAACATTTTTTATCCCCTTGGAGATGAAACATGATTTCCATGATGGCCACTCAGAGCCTTGTGTCTTCTGTGCACAGGGAGACTCATGCACCTGTATGCGGTGTGCGTGGACTGCCTGGAAGGGGTTCACAAGATCATCTGCATCAAGTGTAAGTCACGGTGGGATGGCAGCTGGCACCAGCTGGGCACTATGTATACCTACGACATCCTGGCTGCCTCTCCATGTTGTCAGGTAGGTATTGAACACACTGAGGGAGCAGTGGGTGATACTGGGCTTCTGTCCCCAAGTGAATGTAGGGAAGATGCTTCTGGCAATAAAGAATAAATTCAGTCTAGCAATGATGGCTGAGTTACTACTTGTAATGTAGTCATTTAGTGGAATACTATGCAGTCATTAAAAGGGATAGTGTAGAATAACATATAATTATGTGGGAAGCATTTCCAGTATATTAGGTCAAAATAATACGTTATAAAATGGCATAATAATATGCTTGCATTTGTAAGTAAGTGAGCATGAAAAGGGAATTGCTAACCTGTTACCAGATGGTCTCAGAGGTGGGAGGCTGAAAGATGCCTTTAGTTCTCTTTTTCCTTGAGTATATTTTCTAAGATTCTGTATGATTAGCTTATACTAAATTTATAATAGAAAAAAAGTTACTCAAAAGGAAGAAAGTCACTTTCTTAAATAGATAGGATTTTCTTGTTGTTTTCTTTCTGTGGGATAGTACAGTTATCTAGGAATTGCCTGTCTTGTAAGGTGTTTGAGGTTGTAATCCTTAAAGCACTACTAAAAGGAGGCATTGTCTCATGCTGTGAGAACATCTGAAATTTAGCTGTTAACAGAAAAAGAGGGAGGTATTCACATATGAAAACACAAATAACCTATAGAATCACAGGAGACAAAATCCTTGGAAATATCTTGCTTTATTTCCAAGTGCTTGGGAAAGAAAATAGCTTGTTACATAATTCCTTGATACTGTCATAGGCAGGAGAGAAATTTTTCTTTGCTCTAAAGTGTTCCAACCTGGTTTTGTAGTGCAAATAGCTGATACTTTATTAGTTACTGTACAGTTTTATGTCTTTAGCATTATGGCTTGATTTTTCTAAAGAGAATATCTTTACTATTATCAGTAGTTATTCACTGTAGCATTTTATGATAGTTATTATGCCTTAATGCCAGCTCATGAGAGAAACCAGAGGAAGTAGCTCCCCTCTGCACACACAGCGTGGAGGATTATCTTTTAAATTAAAGAAATAAGGAAGTGAAAGAACGTTTGAGCCTGTTAACTCAGAAGATTAGCACTGGAAAGGACCTGGGATCTAGACCAACCTCCTTATTTCCTCATACAATGGAGGCCTACAAACTTGGGATGTTTTACCCAGGTCGACGTACATTGTGTCACAGCCATGACCGCACCGTGTGACTCCTGTTCTGATGTTCTTTCTGATACACCATTGAAAGGCAATGAGATTATTTCCATGTCTTTAGGAAGAAAAACAGAACAGCATCCTGCCACACCCAGCCTCTTGGTATTCACCATGCACTGTATTTCTTCCTTAAAACAATTGAAGCCCAGACCTTTCTTTTCTGGCACCCTACTGAAATGGAAAATATGTTCGATTACTATTAATTTAAAAAAAATCTGTGAGGATACAAGTGTTAGACGCTACTAATGAATCAAGAGAAGTCATCAATAAGATGTAGCCAAAAATAAGCAATAATTGATTCTTAGAAAGGCATTACAGGGTGAAGACAGGTTTGCTCAGAATCACACTTTTAATCAGAGATATTACATAGTTAAAAGAGTGTTTATCGCAGGTTACAGAAAAGTAGTTCCTGCAGTGGTTGAGGATCAGCAGGCTGCTTTGGTTCACTCCAGCCTTGCTGCTTTCTAAGCGTGGTCTTGGGCATGGTGCTTTATCACATGTGCCTCAGTTGCATTATCTAAAAGTCAGCTAATACTACCTACCTCCCAGGAGTATTTTGAGAGCAAGTTGAGATTATACTTTTTAAGTACATTTTTTAAATGAGTCTAAATTTAGTCTGTTTTATTTATAATTTCTGGTTATTCACTTAAGTCCTGGACCCATTGCTGTAAGATTCCAGGACTGTGCTGTTAAGGAGAGGCTAGGCATGAGTGAAGATGCAGGGTGCTGAGAACTCCAGAAGCCTCAGACCAGCACCACACTTCCTGGATTGCTAATTTTACTTGAGTATCTTGGGAAATTTTATTTTTACATCAAAGAAAATGCAAGTTTTATATAGAGTAGAATGAAAAATGAAATTTCGAAGAAGTTTCGTGGAGGTTTGGGTGAGGGAAGTCAGCTTCAGCCACTCTCTTAAAATCCAGGGGAAGGGGTTTCTGATTGTTAGGGAACTTCAGTTAGGCAGTACTAGTTTAGAATTTTCTTCTCATAAGTAGGTGAAACAACTAGCAGTGCTGCATATCAGGAGAGAAGTTGGGAGTCTTTCAGGCATACCCTGTTTCCCTGTTTCTGGTAATAAACGGGATCCTTTACAAAGCCCTTGATCAGTTTCCCAGCATTTTGGTTTGGGTGGCTTTGACAAGTATTGGGTAGCGGAGGGGTGTTGTGGCTGATGGTGTCTGTTTCCCCCAGGCCCGCCTGAACTGTAAGCACTGTGGGAAGCCAGTGATCGACGTGAGGATCGGAATGCAGTACTTCTCAGAATATAGCAACGTCCAGCAGTGTCCACACTGTGGGAACCTGGACTACCACTTCGTGAAGCCATTTTCCTCCTTCAAAGTTCTTGAAGCTTATTGATGAAAGCTTTGTTTTAGTAATAGCTATTTTATTGATATTATTACTTTATTACATATCTTTTATAGGGAAACATTCTGTGACATTAATTTCTTTTCTAATTTAAAGGAGAGTTACTTTGTTGTATGTGTGCCACTGAAATAGGGGCTGCCCTTGCCCTGTCTTGATTCCCGAGTGTTAGTCTGTGGTTTTGACCAGAACCCAGATGGGTAATCCTGTGCATTTGGGTCGGGGTTCACTCTTACCAAGAGTCTTTGATGCAGCTTTAAGATGGTGGGGAGGATGGGGTGAATTTAGGAAAGGAATTTGTGGTTATAAACTAAGAGCTTGATAGGAGTTGGAAGGAAACGCTTACTAAAATGTTAACTTTCTAAAAACCTTCTTTTAGATCTTCCTTGGGCCTTTGGAAAAACATGTGACAAGTGAATGTAAGTCTGTGCCTGGAGAGCTAATAGTGCATTAGTCTATCCCAGCCTAGTGTTGTGCAGCACACATGGGCAGGCAGTTTACTCACACTGACAGGTGATCTGAAAGTGGCACAAGTGCTGTTTCTATCGCTATTGTAATTTGCCAATTCATTTTTCATGCTGAAAATAATATCCAAATTGTAAGACATATGAATGATACTAGTGTTGCAAATTATGTTTAGGTAAACTGACCTATAACAGAATATGTGAAATGAATTTGGAAATAATGCAAGAAGGCAGAACTCAATCATTTGAATTGTGTCTTTGAAGTTGGTAAAATAGCTCTTAAGGAGAACCCATGAATAACATGATTTGGGCAGTGATGATTTATTACAGGTTGCACTGTTGAAGTGTCATTTGGTGTCATATTCTTCTCACAGGTAAATCAGCCACAGAATCTAACTGGTGAGCTTCAGAACCAATAATTGCCACACTTATTGTCCTCAAAATTACTGATGGCCATGTTTAACCCATTTAATTCTGAGTTTCCAAAATCAAAGATTTGACCTTAAGAGGGAAGGGAAAAAAAAGTATGAAAGGATGATGAAGAAAATAATTTTATTATTTCTTTTTTAAGTATGTTTTGGAAAATCAATGATTGTAATGCATAGCAGTACATTTGAAAAATAGACCATTCTAAAAAGCCCATGATACCTTACTGTTGATGAAAAAAGATGATCATATATCTAGAACTTGATTAGTCAGAGCATTGGGCATTCCAAAATACAGCCTTTGGTTCAGTAGATTTTAATGCTTTAAATAGACTGACATCCCATACCCTTACAGAATTGGAATATGATTTCTCAAAAGTTAATTTCATAATTTCATGTATGATGTGCATATATGCTAAAAATGCTGAAAATCATTTTATGAATAGCCAAATTTGGGGTTGATGTGAACATTTTATATTATTCATTTGGTTTATACCTTTTTTTTTTTTCCCTGTGTGTTTTTTTCTTTTCAGAAGTATTTAGGCAATACTGCAAGTGAGTTTCAGTTCTTTTTTTCTTTTTTCTTTTTTTGAGATGGAGTCTCGGTCTGTCACCCAGGCTGGAGTGTGGTAGTGCGATCTTGGCTCACTGCAACCTCTGCCTTCCGGGTTCAAGCAGTTCTCCTGCCTCAGCCTCCCAAGTAGCTGGGACTACAGGCACATGCCACCACCCTCGGCTAATTTTTTGTATTTTTAGTAGAGACAGGGTTTCACCATGTTAGCTAGGATGGTCTAGATCTCCTGACCTTGTGGTCCACCCGCCTCGGCCTCCCAAAGTGCTGGGATTACAGGTGTGAGCCACCGCGCCCAGCCGAGTTTCAGTTCTATATGAAGTATTTGATGTTGTGTTTGAAACAACGCAGCATTAAAGAACCAATGTTATTGACTAATAGTTTTTATCTTTCAGTTTGGATGATTTGGTTTGCTGCATCTAGGTTAGTGTTTGATCATCTGAAAAAACTTTTCAGTGGGAAGAAATGCATAAAATGCCTATAAGAGGTAGAAAGTCATTGAACTGACAGTGTTTGATGCAACTAAAGGAGGAGGATTGTAAGACATAGCTTTCTGCAAACTTGTCTTTAATGCACAAAGCTGTAGTGGTGAATTAACTATTTCCTTATTGATTCTCTCATGTACCCAGATGCAAAAAGTGCTAAGTTTCTCTTGTCCTCGTAATACCATTTGGATTTTATTTCTGAATTTAAATAGTAAAATATTGATGATGCTGATCTTTAACGCACCTAAAATTTTATAGTGAAACCTGCTTTATATTGTTGTTCTGAAGCTTACAATTGACCTATACATTGCATTCAGCAAGCTCCTGAATTTAGAACTACTGTCGGTGTAGTGTATGCTGTGTTCCATGTTGCCTTTTTAGATGGTTTTCTAGCCCCTGAACAATAAATAGGATGAGGTTTTACTGTAATTGGATAAAGTTTACTCTTGGACATTATTTCAATGCTAAATTAAGGATACTATGGATGTCTTCAGTTACTTAAAGAGAAAATAATGAGAGCATGAAGCATATCTGAGAATATCTTTCGCCTTTAAGGCGATTCATTCTTGTCTAGAGGGAAAATTTGGTTGATTTGGGAATAAAGTATAATTGAGTATTCAACACCATGAAGATAAATCTTATTTTGGAAATCTACTGACCTTAATACCCCAAGCTTGCCCTGAATACTTTGATTGGAATTGGAATATATCAAAAAAGGTTATTATTTTTGTTGTAGTTAGGATACTAAAACAATATTAGTTACCCAAGAGATCCAATTTCTGTTTTTCTGATGAACAGTGTTCAGTAAAATGAAGCAGTCATTTCACATAAGAGTGACTAATAATTTCAAAGTGTTTTTTCGTCTACTCTTAATATTTTTTAATTATTTATTTTTAAGAGTTTTATACCTTGAACAAATACAGTGATCTGCTTTAGTTTAGTGAGAGTACAATTTCTGATTGATTGTTTTCTCTTCAGGCCATCTCACCTCTTCATTCTCTTGTTACATTTGAAGCAGTTGATATAATGGGTTTATACTTTAAAAGAGATATAGTGCCATGAAGTTGGGGAGTTGGGTGGATTTTCCTCTTCTAGTTACAGAGGAGCTTTCCTCAAATGCCCTTTAACTTCTAGGTTTTGTGCAAGAAGTTCATTTTCTGAGTAAAAGTTATTTTCATATATGTTGGGGGAAAATTAACTCATCAAAAAAGAATCTTATTAGGTATTTGAACTCTGAAACTAACAGATAAGACTTATATGTACCTTATTAGAGCACCAAAACTAATTTGCTAAAATCTTTTGTTTAGTCCTGCAAGACTGATGCTTAATACACAGTCTGTTCTCCTGTGTCTAGGTCAAGAACTCCAGTTTGCTTTTCTGTTTTGTATCCTGATAGCAGCTGTTGAGTGACTTTCATTGAAGATTGGGAAGGAAGTGAGGAGAAAGTGTTCTTGTTTAGTGTTTTATTTCCTATAATAGGATGCTGCCTAACCCAGTTCATCTTTATGTCCTGTTCACTAAATATTCCAGGTAATTGAAAGAAAATAAAATGGATGGGCTCCATTAAAACCAGCTCAAAAATAAATTCTTGTCAGTAAAGATTTCTTGTCAAGATGTCTTGGATTGCACTTTTGTTGAGGAAAGATAGTGTAAATAGTTAAAGAATGTGGATAAAATTGAAACATTTGGTTGTGGAATTGTGTGTGGTTTTAGAGGGTTTCTGTTTGTGAAATGTATGTATTAAAAATAATAAAATTCCAGAAACTTAACATTGTACTCTGTCTTTAGTTTGTCACTTTATTTTTCATTGGGATTTTTGAGCAGTGGGATTGTCTGGTCAGAATAAGATGAAGAGAAAGCTTTCTGAGGTTTTGATCGCTATTCAGATAACCATTTCAAAGTCACTCCTGCAGCTAATAAAAACTACCAACTTTTTATGTTGCTTACAAGTCATGTATCACATGTAAACTCACTTTGCAATAAAAGCTTTCTGTATAACAAAGTTGATTCTATATGAATAGTCCAAAATTGTTGTTCTGGTTTTAGGGAATTCTATTGGATAGATGGTATAGTGTTAAAGATGAGATATACCCCAAGATCAACCACCCATAGCCACATAACCAAAACTTAAGTCATCCTGATTTCCCTGAAATGCTAGTTCTAATCAAACAGAACAAAATGCAAGGCCTTGTCGGCATGATTTGGTGAAATCAAACTTACTAGCTACAGTAGTCCCCCCTTATCTGCCATTTTCTTTCTGCAGTTTCAGTAACCCATGGTCAACCTAAATGGAAAATTCCAGAAGCAATTCACATGGTTTAAATTGTGCACCATTCTGAGTAGCATCATGAAATCTCAAGTCCTGTGCCACCCTGTCCATCAGGCGAATCATCCCTTTGTCCAGTGGATCCATGCTGTAGATGTCCCATGCCTATTAGTCACTTCAGAGGCTGCTAGATGAGTCCTGGTATTGCAGTGCTTGTATTCAGGTCACCTTTATTTTACCTAAAAATGACCCCAAAGCGCAAGAGTAATGCTGGTGTACTCATACACTTATTCTGTGTTATCACTGGTCATTGTTGTTAATCTTTTACTGTGCTTAATTTATGAACTTTATCATAGGTATGAATGTATAGGAAAGGTCTTAGAAAGGATCCCCTAAGGATAAGGGTGTGCCTACTGTGTAGACAAATCGACAACTGGTCTGCTTTTCTTATAAAGAATGTTAACATGTAATAGCCAGTTATAAAAGAGGGTGAAGATACTTTCTCCCTTATGTTTTATAAATGGTGCTGTAACTGCCGTGCGCAGACTTCTAACCATTTTGGTTTGAGGTCTCCAAGTTTGCCAACTGTTCTTTTGTATGCACAATAAACATACAATTTTAAAATTTGATCTGATTTTATTTTTGACAATAGATTATTCTACAGATGTTTTTGTTTCCTAGGCCTGTAACGATTTTCATAATGAAAAGACTTGATCGTATGCTTCTTCATTGTAAGCAAAGAGAAAACAGTCATTGAACAGACGTCTTGCTGACTTCATATACTGTGATCAAGAATAGTTTATCCTTAAATCTCCTTGTCCTCTTCAATTCAAATGTCATTCTTGACCAACGGATTGAAATCCACAAACATTAGAACACAAGATAAGTTGGGGAAACTGGGTAAAGAAAGTCTTGAGTCTGCCAGTGGATTCAAAGCCTGTGTTGCTACTTACTAATGCAAATGTCTGAGGCATAAATTTTATTTTATTTAAAGCCTTATAAAAGACTTGGGATATGATTTCTACTGATGTAATTTATGGTCAGCAAAATTCCTTTGAAATTTTAAGGAAAGTATAGTTCTTACTGCAGAAGGAAAAAAGTTGCAGAAAAAAATGAAGTTAAATGGTGGTTGGTAAGCATTAAGTTTAATGGAAGAAAATTCTTTCTTCTTCTTGGTGCTTTGTGTTACTTTAGATCTCGCTTATATTGTTTTGAGTTAAATTTGGCAAATCCAGCAGCAATTAGATTGCTAATTATGTAGGCTGTTAAAGGGTTAAATTTTCAAAGGGGGAAAAATTCTTGAGCTTTTCTTCTTTTTTCTGCTCTCTCAAGTCTACAGTGAGGTAAACCTTACCTGCTGAATGTGAACTACCTTTGAGGACAATAAAGTGCTGTACAGATGTAATAGTTGAAATAGTAATTATTTTTAAGGCATATTTTTCTTTAGTGGAAACTTTTAGCATTGTGGTAGTTATACTAGCTCTACCTGGCATTGCTAAGCCTCAGAAACAGCAAAAGTAAAAATAAAGCAGTTTGTCTCATGAAGTTCAGTAAAACACTGGTTACATTCATCAGTGTTCAAATGGAATTGGCTACCATAGCACCATTTCTTGGTGATAAGCACCATCTTAAGTGGTTCTGTTACACTTGATTAAAAATTTAGATATCTAAATCAAGCATAGAACTGTCTAATTGTAATTCCTAATAAACCCAGTTATTCTAAGAGTGAGAAAGTCATAGCCATAACAGTCATAGAATTTAGATGTGTCAGAATTTGGAGCAAGGGCTATGCTTTTTGTTTTACCCACACGGTAAATGTTTGTTAAATTTCATTGACAATTTTACTCATTTTAGAGGTGAACTGAAGCCCAAACAAGTTACATCTAAATAAATTCACATAGTTAATGACTAAGTAGGAATTCAACCTGGATTCCCACTCCTAGTCCTCAAAGTGAGATTCGGTAACATATTCAGGTAGCTAACTCTTGCTCAGAAGTAGAGAATCCATGAGCTTTCTTCAGTTTTCCCTTCTGTTTTCTGTTACCATTTGCATACTGGCCACCTTTAGCATATTAATTGTCAGATCTAGACATTAGTAGCCTGAAGAGATCGTTGCCAGTTGTCCATGTTACTTTTGAAGCTGTTTTAAATGTGAACTTTAGATCCTGAAGTTAATTTTTTTGTTGTTGCTTTCATTTCGTGTTTACTGATATCATTTTCTGATGCTAAGGGTAAGAAATCGGGGGGCCTATATGAGTGGCACTTAGACTTGCTATAAAGGAAAGAAAATGTCAGTTACAGCCATGTACACTTTTACCAGATATGTAAATAAGATATCTAACCTGATGTTGACTAAAGAAAAAATATCAACCTTTTAAAGAATTAAAGTTAGTTTTATTCAGAAGTCTTACTGAAGACTAGGCTGAGGCCTGTAGCCCAGGAGCAGCCTTTGAGAGAGGTTCTGCCAGGCTGCTCCAGCACAGATACTTCAACCCACTGCTTATATACAGATGCTGGAGGTTCGGTACATGCAAAATCACATCAACGTTTGGGTGTAAGAGTACACCTGGTTATAGATTACAGAAGTATAATCACGAAGCCTGTCAGACATTGTATGTCAGAAAAGGCAAGGACTAGGGTCATTTATCTTTTGAAGAATATAGTGACCAGGCAAGAGACATGGAGGACCGTCTACTAGTACTGCATTGTCCTCAAAGTATCCTTTCGGAGAGCTGCACATTGTCGTGGAGTCAGCAGCTTTGTGAAATTATGTTAGCAAGCAGAAATGAGCAGACATGGCTACTTATGTTTGCTACTTTTGTCTCCTAGGAGGTTGGGTGTAATACACAAACATGGAAGGAGAAGTGTCTGGACATTGTACAGAGCAGTGAGTCCCCAGAAATAAGTGAGAGGAGCCTTGTGGCTGTGGAAGTTACAGATATAGTCAATATCTGTATCTGGATGGGCACCTTGTTTTCAGTTGAAAAATAATTTGGGCTTGTGACAAGGCAGTAGACTTAAAAGCTATAGCCCATGCTTCAGCAACACAGGTGCCAACATAGAAGTAATTCTGTGAGGCCTAGCTGGGCCCTCTGCATAGGGGTGATGAGCACATTGGAAGCATCCCGTTTTAGAAAGGGGGGATGTACTTTCTAAAGGGAAAAATTTTGAAATCAATAGTTGTGTCTTTTAACCTCATCTTTTAATGCATTAATTTGTTGACATCTGTTCTCTTTTGTTAAGGTAGATGACTGCTTAAGGTGACATTTTCACAATCTACACCAGGAATTCATTTTATTCACTTGGGGATCTAGCTTTGAGTTATTTTTGGATTCAAACATGTCAAGCTGTCGGATTTGATAGCATTGATCTATCCAGTTTGGGCAGGCTTTTCCTTTTTGACTAACTTTTCTAACAGTTCCTCTAGGTGTGTTTAATTTTCAATTTCTCACAATCTTGTTAGAAGCCCTGGTATCCCAGACTTTTTAGGGTTGCTTAACTTGATTAGGGTTTATTGCAATTCCATAAGGTCTTGGAAAAAGTGCTGGTTACATGTTTCTCCTAAGGAATGACCATTTTTTATGGTTTAGGGGCTGTCCCTTGCTAATTAGCAGTGTTCTGAGTTACTGCCAAACCATTGGTTGAATGAGTGCTTTATGTCTTTTTGTTATTTTCATCACATTAACAAACGGCATATTTTTCTGAAGCTCTGATGACACTGCAGGTGATTGATGAGGGAAGTAAAGCCGGGTGAAGGATATAGGCTTGTGTTCCTCTGAGGTTCCAGAACCCCATGGTTCTAAAAAGAGAATGATTTGGGAAAGGAGTGGGATAGTGGGAGTCCTGGGGCTACTGTGAATATTTCAGAAAACTTAATGGAGATCACAAAGTTACCCACCACAAGACTGCACAGGACACCTAAAAGGTCAGTTTACTTTTGGCAGGAGTTACAGCAATCTTGGTTATCAAGCTGCTCAGAAACACTGGCAGTAGCATATGCCTTTGATGAATAATATATGAAAGCAAATGAATTACCTAATAAATGCAGTTTACTTTAAAGACATAAGTTTTCAAAACATAGGATAGAGTTGCAGCCAGGCATGGTGACTCAGCCTGTAATCCCAGCACTTTGGGAGGCCGAGGTGGGCGGATCACGAGGTCAGGAGATGGAGACCGTCCTGGCTAACACGGTGAAAACCCATCTCTACTAAAAATATGAAAAATTAGCCAGGCGTGGTGGCGGGCACCTGTAGCCCCAGCTACTTGGGAGGCTGAGGCTGGAGAATGGCGTGAACCCCGGGGGTGGAGCTTGCAGTGAGCTGAGATCGCCCCAGTGCATTCCAGCCTGGGCAACAGAGCGAGACTCCGTCTCAAACAAACAAACAAAAAGACACACAAAAACATAGGATAGAGTCATATTGGGTTAAGGGTAGTCTTTGGTGATGGGAAAATGCCATTTAAACAAATGTCCTCCACTTTTTTCCTAGTCCTTTTTCTTCTACCTGTTGTG